TTTTTGTTTAAGTTTTTTTTTTGGATACGTCGGGTGTGAAATTGATGAAATTGAAATCTTGGGGCCCATTTCGATAATGACCCTAAACCTCTAGGGACTAAAATGTAGTTAATCCATAAAAATACCTTAAACCCAAAACCGCAAAAGCTGAAGGGCAGACTTCAATCACTCAGCAAAGTAGAGAGCAGACAACAATGGAGTCTGAGGTGAGTTTTGAGACCTCCTTCTTTCGCCTTGTGTGCCCTCCGAGGTATTTAATTAATAGATTATTATAAATAAACCCAATCCTAGACATGTATTTATAAAAAAACCCACGCACTATTTAAACATAGAAACACACCCAAAAGCAACCCCAAAATCAACAATTGTATATTTTTTGGGTGTGTTTATAAATGGGTCTTGTGTGGGTAATGATGGGGTTTGGGTGTGTTTATAAAGTGTTTTGGGTGTTGGGTTTTTTTATAATTTCAACCCCCATTTTGGGTGTTTTAGTGAAACTCCCTTTAATTAATTGGTGTATTTTGCAAATTCAAGCACACGCTTACATAAGTTTCGAGATATATGATACTGAATAATTGATTGATTTTATGTGGAATAGATTTTGCCCTCTGTGAAGTACACTGTGGAGCCAGTGGGGTTGGGTGGACTTACTTTGCTCAAGGTGACTCCTTTCTTTTTCATTTCTGTTTGGTTTCCCAGAAAATGGAGCAAAGTAAAGAAGAGCTATATAAACGAATATAAAATTTCATTGTTATCTCTATGTACTTTCCTTTTAAGGAAAAAAAAAGTTGCCCCTTTGAGTAGAAGGTTTTGATAATCTATCAAATTAAGCTTAATCTGAGTGTAAATGGGACTGAGAGTTCACGTGTGTTTTGATTGTAGGACCGCGTTAGTACTCGAGGTTTTCACGCTATCCAACTCCAATTTAGTTCCTGGGAAATATGAAGTTGTATTCTTCCTATCTTTTTTTTGCTTTGTTAATAGTGATTCAATAATTAAAAATGACCACTAGATTGAGTTTGCAATATTCTGCATTACAAATGTTTATCTTATTTGTGAAAGGCTGTTGCGCCAAATGGTGATGGTATGTCTTTTGCTTTTCGGGTGCAGGGGGTTAAAGCTCTTAGCTCTGAAGTTCAAGATGGACATTTATCGTTTACCGGTGAACGAGTTTTAGAGGTGGGCATCCTAATGTTTTGAGGTGTACGTATACTGCCCCATAATGCATATACACATGTTAACATTCTTCATGTTACTTTGCGTGGTAGTCACATGTTGACTTTTATTCGTAAGTGAAATGAGACATACACTTGTTTACCTCAAAGTCCTTACATCTGGTCGCATTCCTGCTTACTAACAGATGGCTAGGTCAACTTTTTGGGGCTCTTATATCCTAGCTTGGAACATTCAATAAAGTAAAGAATGTTAACTTGAATGAACTGCAATCTCTTCGTGATACATTAACAAATGTTGTTACTTTGCGTGGTAGTCACATGTTGACTTTTATTCGTAAGTGAAATGAGACATACACTTGTTTACCTCAAAGTCCTTACAAAGAGAAACTAGTTTGGCATCTGGTCGCATTCCTGCTTACTAACAGATGGCTAGGTCAACTTTTTGGGGCTCTTATATTATTGACATAGACGTATTGATCAATAATCAGCATATAACAATTTTTATTGGAATTCCTTTCTGCAGGGTTCCTGGCTTCTAGCGTGGTCGCTGAAGTTGCAGATGGTTCTTCTAATGGCCGAGAGGTATGGAAGCTTTCGTTTAAGTAGGCATGGAATTCATGTGGATCAAACACTATCCTTATTTTTTATTTCTCTTTTTCAATCTCCTCCCCTGTGGCCACCAATTTGGCCACTTACCAAAGGAAGAATCAAATGTTACAGTTGTTAGTCTATTCGCAGACAAGAAGGATGTAGAGAATATTTGGTCATTAGATAATTTCTCTTCTCTAAACCTCTTTTATTTTTCTTTTGATTTACTGTGTCCTATGTAATGCAAATTCTTACGTTTTCTTTAATTATTTATTTTTAGTTGATTTTTTATTTACGGGTTCATCGTTCATGTTTCTTTTATTATTGATGCTGAATTTGTTGTGTTGCAATTTTCATTGAATATAGGTATTGAAAATTTTTGATATCTCTTCATTCTTGAACTTACACCATGAACTAAGAGCAGTGTAAAGATTTGGATGCGGTTGAAAGTTCATGGGAGAGTTAGTACCTGTGAAAAGGATCCTGTTCTTGTTTAGGGATCCTATATTGCTTGGTCTTACAAGTTTAGAATCCAATGACTTCTAGCGGTCTCATGGGGAACTATTCTGCAGATACAACATGCCTTTTAGGACGCAAACCTCTCAAAGCTTTTAGGGTTTCCACATCAAGCATCACCCCTTGTTCGATCATTTCCTCAACGAGCCTCAAAGCTTCACCTATCCTTTTAGCTTGCATATAGCCGTTGACCAAGGCTTTATAGCAAGAAGCAATATCAGGGACACGATCTTTTGTCACCATTAAATCAATGACCTTCTTTGCCTTATCCATTTTGCCACGAAAACAATAACCATCAATTAGCATACTGAAAGTTATTTTGCTCAGCTCCATGCCATATTTAACTTTGGCCTCAACTACTTTATGAGCCTCTTCTGGCATCCCTCCTTGGAAGACAGCATCCAAAAGTATTGTCAAAGTTATGATATCAGGTAAGACTCCCTGAACTACCATTTCATCAAACAACCTTGTGGCTTCAGCCCATTGATCTGTACGGCACATGCCATAAATTAGAGTGCTGTAAGTGACAATGTTAAGCCTCATACCTCTTTGGGACATTAGCTCTAACACGGAGAGCGCTTCCTCAGTCCGTGTCTCCTTGCAAAGAGCATGTATTACAGTGTTAAAGGTTACAACATTTGGTGCAATTCCTTCATCCAGCATTCTATTAAACAACCTTGTGGCTTCTTTCCATTGCGCGGAATGGCAGAGGCTATTAATTAAGGAGCTGTAGGTGACGACATCAGGCTTTACACCTCTAAGGAACATTTCTTCCACAAGTTTTAGTGCCTCTGCCGTCTTCCCTTCCTTGCACAAAGCATCCAACACAGAAGTGAATGTAACAACATTAGGCAAGGCTCCACAATCAATCATGTTTCTAAATAGCCGCACAGCTTCTTCCCACTTACCAGACTTGCATGCTGCAGAAATTAAGGAAGTAAAAGTGAAAACATTAGGCTTTATGCCTTTGTTTTTCATTTTTTCAAACAGAGCAAGTGCTCGTGTCCAAAGACCCATGTTGCATAATCCATAAATTAATGAAGTGTAACTGATGATATTTGGCGCAACACTTTTGTTGATCATATCTCGAAATAGGGTCAGCGCCTCATCTATTCTTCTTTCTTTGCATAAGCGGTCAATGATTGGATTATAGCATTCAGGGTTAGGCTTAAACCTTCCATCTTCATACATTTGCTCGAGTATCTCAAGCGCCATACATGTTTTCCCAGCTCTGCACAACCCATTAATTATAGTAGCGTAAGTGATTTCACTGCATGCTAATCCTTTCTCTTCTATTTTCCGGAGCAACTCCATTGCCTCAGAGAGCAACCTGTACTTGCAAATCCCATGAAGCAAAGCGTTCAAAGTATAAGCATCGGGCTGAAGACCATGTTTAAGGATAGTTGCTAAAACAGAGAAACCCAAGTCCACCCGATTCATACGGCACAAGCAATTGATAACAACACTCAGTGTAACGACTTCCGGGTGTAAGCCAACACAAGCCAGCATCTGTTTATACATAGAAACTACAGTGGAACACTGATTCATCTTGGAGACTGCCCCAAACAAATGATTAATAGCCCAAATCGAGGGAATGGGTTTCATTTGAATTACGGAATCGAAGTGACCCAGTGCTTCATCTAACCCAAGATTACCAGATTTACAACGCGTTTTTACCAAATCCTCCAAATCAATGGTTTCCTTAACACTAACAGTATGACAACGATTGACAGAAAAAGAGCAAAACTGGCTTCTTAAAAAGACGAGCCCAAACACAGAATAGAGAGAAGAAGGATTACCCTTTTGGAGAAGCGTGAGCCCTTGAGCTATTTTGGCCATAATTTTCGTCATCATCGACCAGCTCCTAAGGCAGAGCAAGCAATTCACGATTTTTTTGGTCGAACTGAACGAAATTTCATTGCCAAAAGTTTTGCGAGTTGCACGTTTAGCGCGGGGAAGGCGTGAGGAGGCGTTGCAAGGCGGAGCGAGGCGGAGAGAGGCGGAGCAAGGCGCGCCAGATCTGTACACTCTGAACCGGAAGAAATTTTGCGAGTCTGCAAATTGGCTGCGGCTCTGCGAGGAAGACGACTGGCGTGTTGTTTTTTTAGGTTTATTGTAATGAAACGACGTCGTTTCGATTGAAGTGTTTAAAATAAAAACTTAAAGTGAAACGACGTCGTTATACTTGGAGTGTTTTGAAAAAAAGAAAACACGCAAGTGTCTATTTTTGTTTAGGGTAAATGGCCGAAAACCCCCTTGGACTATTTTGACTGTCGAAATGTCCACCCTCGAAAATATTTTCAGCCAATTTAGCCATTAGATTATTTTAAATGGTCAATTTAGCCCCTACCGTTAGTTTTCATGTAATTTCATTCAATTTTCTGTCTAAATGTCACATGTTAGGCACGTAACTCACTGTTTAATTAAATTTTTATTTTTTAAAAAATTTAAAATAATTAAATTGTTAAAACTACAAAACTGAAGAAAAAAAAAAAAAAAAAAAGGGGAAGGCAATCATCGTCTTCCCCAGCCCCTTCCTCCCAAGACTATCTGCAATCCCACATCCACAAGGATTTTCGAGTGAATGCCAATGGTAGGTCCGTGTAAATAAACATATAATTAGAATTAAGATATGTTTTCATCTTCATCGACACCTACTTGTTCTTGATTGGATCAATGGGATTTAGGGATTGCATTTCACAGTGTTTGGGTATTCTGGATGATTTTTATGGGTGATTGGCAAAGAATCCTTTGGTTTATTTGAATCTGCACTTTTCACACTCTAGTTTTATTGATAAATATACATAATAACTATTTCGGCGTGTTAGCTTCCAAACCCAGGCGACGACCAAATTGCTTTGAATGAAGAGTGTCAAATCAAGTATAGTGCCCCACCAGGCCCGGACCGATAGCACACTATTCTAGTTTCTTGCTTCCTAGCATCAGGCCTATGGTCCATCCAAACAAAGGCAGGAGTTCCCATAAGGAAGCTTACTCACCTGTAAGTGTTTTATAATAACTTTTTGGATGTCCTTGCTTCACACACTTGACTATTTCGGATGTCCTTCTATGATAACTTTTTGTTGTCTTCATATTGTTCGTAGAATTGATGAAATCACTTGCAAATTTAGAGATGACGGAGTGCTTTGTATATTTCTTTTGTTGCAATGAACTTTATTTGGTCTTTGATTTGTCTCAGCCACTGTGGGTCTTGTTTTATTTGTGACCGTGGGTGTTGGGTGTTGGCTAAGTGTCCATTAATTTGGTTTTGCTATCAATTTCTTTTGCTGATTTTTGTTACCTACGGACGAGCAAGGGGATGGAGGCGGTGTTAGAATGGATTTCATATATGTGCATCTATTTTTGTGGGTTCGGTTTGATTTTTGTTACCAAATCATAACCGATTTTGTCCGGTTCGGTTTGATTTGGTCCAAGTTTTTTTGTGGGTTAAAAAATAAAATAAATAAATATAGTCGATCTAGTTCAGTTAGGTCTGGTTTTTTGTGGCATAGAACTGGAATTGGTACAAGTTTAAACCTGTCCAATTTGATTTTCAGTCTGATTTTCACTTTTTTGGTTAACTCGATTTGGTTCGACTTTCCGGTTCAATAGTTTTTATGCCCACCCTAATTTCACACTAACTTATAGTGGAATCCAAATCAACCAAAGTTTAACAATTGCAAAGTTAAATAAATAAATAAATGTTTAAGAACACAAGGCTGGTCTCCAGTAGCCTATTGGATTTGTGTGCTCCAAGCCAAAACCCATAATTTCTCGGGTTCGAGACTGGCAGAGAGAGAGAGAGAGACGAAGAGAGAGGGGTTGACAAAAAAATTTAAAAACACAAGGATATCACAACTTTAGTTTATAATTTACGCTAAACAAGTACAATGTTCTGTCTCATATAGTTTTTACACCCAAATAGCAATTGCAGATCTGCACCTCTTCTTCTATCTCCTTTTGTTTTCTAAACAGAAATAATTGAATTCAATCAAGTTTGTTCTTGTGTTTGAGGAAATGTGTACTTGTAACTATCCTCATCAGCAAAACCAATACTAGGATCCTTCCCCTCCCTAATCACCTCCCTAACATCCTCTATCCTCTCAAGAATTCCCTTCACAGCTAAATCGAATGCGTCTGCGGTCTCTAATCTTGACCTGGGATCTGCATAAACGAGGTTTGGAATTAGCCTTATAACCTCCTCTCTCAGGGCAAATTCCTTATCCTCTGAAATGCCAAGCAAGATTTCCTCAATGCTGGCTGGCACATCTTTTGCCTCCCTCACTGGAATAAACACAGAGTAGCTGCTATGATTCTTTGGCAAATGCCACAAGTACTGAGAATAAGCGGTACCCGGATGAAAAAAAACTGGTATACAACCAGCCAAAATAGAATCAAAAGCTGATCTCCTGGTGTATGAATCACCTCCAGGCTGCAAGCAATAAACTGAGCTCTGAAACACCCTCATTACACTAGCCGGGTTGTCACAATCAATGTTCCCACCAGAACTACAATCTATTAACTTGCAAGTGCTTGAAGCTAGGCACTGATCTATAATTTTGCCCCGAATCGAACTCTGCTGGTCAGGCCTTGGTGCCCCAGCAAAAGTGAACAAGTAAGGCCTTTCTAGCTTTCTCATTCTGTTCTGCCATTGAACCAATTCAATGTCCTTTGAAGGATGAAAATTTGTAGGGTATGGTATAGCATAGTCATTTTTCCATGAGCTTCCTTCAACTGATAACATACTCATGTTCATAGACTCAGGCAACCACCTCAGTTTACTACCCCAATCGGAAACATCATCTGTTTGCCTCCTGAAATCCCAAGAAATCCTCCCAGCAACCAAGAAATGGTCTCTCCCCCACATTTTCTTCCATTCGGGTTTTCTCGAGAGCCAATCGACAAGCTCTTTCGCCGAAGAGTCTCTGACCGTGAGGTTAGAATCCCACAGATGGAGGCTGGCATCAAGGCCAGCATAGAATGGGACATAAATGGCTGAAGCCAGAGTGGAGTTTTTTGTCAAACACTCATAATGCTTCATTTTGTTGTGGAATATGAACTCCAACAAGAACTGGTTTGTGGAAAACCAACTCTCATTGGCCAAAACCCCTTCATTGTTCTCAATTTCAGGACCAAATCCAAAATTCTCAAAGTAAGGACACAAATTGGGCTTATCAGTCCCCCTAGTAAGATATTTACAGTTCTCGAGCAAGTCATGGTTGAATTTTTCAGGAAGATCATCATGCATATAAACAAAACGACCAGAGCATGATTCTGTGCTGGGTTGGTCTGTAATTGAAAGGGTTTGGTTCTTCAAAATACCAATTGGGTCAACTTGTTGTGTGTTGACCAAAAGATTGACCCCATTGTTGACACTAAAAAAGGTTGAATAATCAAAGGAAAGCAATATAAAGCACAAAGCAAAGGAGATGAGAATGCCAAACCAGAGTTCTTGAGAGCACTTTGCAGGGAGCAGTTTCTCCATTGTTGGGCTTGCTCTGCTGAGCCAACCAAGATCTCCAGCTACTCAAGTCTCAGAGCAGAAGATAGAGACAGTGAGTGAAGGAGAAAGACAGGAAAAGCTTTGTTTGTGGAAAAGGAAAAAAGGAAAGAAAATAAAAGAGAAACCCCACAGCATTAATAATGTGAAGGAGAATTAATAGGTCCAGTGTGGCAAATACAAGTACAAAATTAACTTTAGAGAAAATCATAGGCTTGCTAGTGTTGGTTGTCGGAAGATGACAAATGAAATGAGAATTGCTTTTGCTTTTGGATATCTGCAACAAGAAAAATAATTTGAAAAGTTTTTACCGAGGGAGGCACGTCCAATAGTTTGTCGGGTGATTAAAGTACAGGTGTTACACGTAAAACTTCGGGACACCGACACTGGCTAAGGGCATGTTTGGCAGTATCTTTAGCAAGGAAAAGTGTTTTTAGCAGAAAATTTTAAAATTATTTATGAATTATAAAAGCAGTTAAATTGTTAGTAAAAAATTTGATGCACATCCTAGTGCTTCGGTTTGTTTTGTTTTTAAAGAAGCCAATTCGGTACCTCATGGACTAGTTCGGTTTATACTATTATCTAATTAGGTATCTGAATTTTGAATGATAGGAGGACATTCCTGATATCATTCAGAATAATTTGGTATGTAATTCTTATGTTTTTTAATATCATCACTTCTCTTAAAAAATAAAAATAATTTTTTTT